GCTGAGGCAGGAGGATCAGTCCACCTGAGCTGGTATAATAGGGAAGTCCCCTGTCCTTCAGCATATACAAAGAAAGTATAACCGGCTGAAAACCAGCCTGCTATTTGTACTATGTTGTTTTCTTGTCCCTGCTAAAGCTAATGATTGTGATACACCCAGCAGAGCTTGTTTGCTGGGCAGAATGTTGATTGATTTATGAGTCACTAATAAAATTCAGTGCGATCCTGTGTGTTTAGTGGTTTAGGGGAAAAACTAGAAATGAATTCAGATTCCCAGCTCTCCTACTTAATAGTTATATGACTTTACACACACTGTTCGATTTCTTTTGTCTTAGTTTCCTCGTGTGTAAAATGGAAATAATTATGGTCTAACAATTGTGCTCCTTGGTAGTTACCCAGATGAGCTAAAACCTTAGGTCCTGTTAATACATGGAATACATGTTTATGACATAAACATTTGACAAAAACATAAATGACAAAAACATAAATGTTTATGACAGTTTTATTAATAATTGCATAAACTTGGAAGTGACCCAGATGCCCTTTAGTAGGTGAATAGATAAATTATGTACATCCAGACAAGGGATAAATTATCAAGCCATGAAATGACATGGAACCTTAAATGAGCAGATCTGAAAAGCCTCCATACAGTGAGATTCCAACTGTGTTCCACTCTGAAAAAGGCAAAAATGTGGATCAGTCAAAAGATCAGTGGTTGCCGGTGGTTAGGAAGAGGGAGAAATGAGAAGACAGGCCACAGGGTACTTGCAGGCCACATCATTAAACATTTGTGTTACCCCACAGAATGTACAATTCCAAACACAAAGTCTCACGTAAGCAACGGCCTTTGGGGGATGTTGATGTGTCCGTGTAGCACTGCTTTAACTGTTGGCAGAAGCCCTCTAATGTCAGAATAATCTAGAGTGTCGTTGATAATGTATAGACTGTTATCCTTCTCCAGATTTCCTAACACAGAGACTTTGAGAGTGAGGGCAAGGAATTCGCGTTTCCACAGCCTCCAGGGCTGATGCTTTGAGAGGCTGGAGGGCTGGTGCCGTGACCGTCTAGAAAGGATGACACTACTTCTGCCCTTTAGGCACTGTTTAGTAGCTCCCCCACATTCTCTTAAAAAATACGCATGGAAGGTTTGCCAGAACACCATGTATCTGGAAGGAACAAGGGGAAGCAGTGATCTAACAGTTCTTCAGACCATCTCAGAACCCAGGCTCTGTGTGAAATGACTTGTTTACGAAGCAATGCATTCTTACTCCAACTTGATGACTCCTCTTAACAGTGTGAGTTCACTTCATTGCTGCACATAAGTTTTAAGCAGTAGTGCTAATTACCATGTGACTAATTCTGAACGGTTGAGTCATTTGGGGGGCCCTTAGGGAAAAAAGGAACTATAGGCTCAAGTGAGCTAAACACTTGTCGTTGGATAAGAACTGAAGTGATGTAATAAGTGATCACCCAGTGAAATGTCAGAAGCACTGCTCGGACTTTTTTTCTGATTATATAACCAGGCATATGAAATAAATTCATTTTTTATTTTAAAGAAAGAAAAAAATAGAAATATAATAGAACAGTTTCAAATCAGGCTAATAGGAGATACAATCATTAATGCATTGTGCATTGTTATCTTCATAGTAGTTACTCACAGTACAATATTTGGCATGAAATAATGTTCAGACAATATTAGCACAAATCATTTGGGAATGGAGGTAATGTTTTCATAGCTCTTCTTGGAAGCTCAGCCATTACTGTCTATTAGCAGGACTATTGGACAGGTAATGAATAGAATTCTTTACAAATTTTTATCAAATTGGAGCAAAATGAAATGAACACAGAATAAAAAGGGAAAGAAACAAAAAATATTATAGATACGGGTTTGCAAGTTCAAATAACAAGCATTCACTAAATACTTTTATGCCAGGTATTTTGCTAGAAACATATACATAGTCTGTCTCATCTTCACAACACAGGAAAGTAGATACTATACTTTTATGTAAAAGAATTCAAAACTCAGAATGGTTCATCTACCTGACAGCGAACAGAGTTGTTTTAAACACAGAAGTTCTGACTCTACAACATACTTAAAACTGTAAGTTCGGAGCAGCAGTAACATATAATTGGACTATCAATTAATGGTTTTATGTCAGGGCAGCACACAGTGGGCCCTGTGCTTATATAATCAGGTTATATAATTCAGTTTTCCTGGATTTGAGTTATTTGAAAATGTGAGGGTGGGGTTTATACTGCCAAACAATGCAAAATAAAAGAGACCAGATGTATCCTCTCACTTTAACTAGAAAACCAGACAGCGTATATGAAAAGTGGTTTTTGGACACAGGACATATGTACTGTCCATATTGGCATTGAAACAAAATATATCCCTGTTTAAACAACTGATAGGATAAAAGAAAAATCATTTGACACGATAGTTGGAATGTTCTACCTTGATCAGCACAGGAGATACAAGATTACAGGTACTTTGCTGTACTTGGTTAAAATAAAGTATGTGTGGACAGATTAACACACAGCTATAATTTTCCAACTTCTTCATCATACGGATACATAATTATATTGTATTTTGTTTAACATTTTAGAATAAAACTATACATCGAGCATGAGAAAAATGTTAGCTTAACTGATACTTAAGTGTTCAAAATCTTGATGTAATAGAAGTGGTATACTTGGCAGAACTTGAAAATACAGGGGAAGGGAAGTAGACAGGTAAACTAGTTGACTTATTTTACATAGAAGGAATCAACATATTATTCAAAATTCGTAGGAGCAGAGATTGTTAAAGGGTATTATTTTCAATTATATAGATAGTCATATTTGATATATTCAATGGTAGAAGGCTCACCCTGGAGGAGACGTAAATGAACCAATTTTCTTATCTTGGATATCAGGAACTCAGTTTTATGGTTTAAAGATAACAGGGTATAAAAATCAGAGATCTAGCTGTGTGCTTGTAATCCCAGCAGGAGGCTGAGGCAGGAGGATCACCAGGAGTTTGAACCCGTTTCAAAAAAACCAACAACAAAAAAGGACCAGATATCTATTATTGCCCTCCAGAATAACTAAAGCAAATGTTCAGATTTTTTCCATCTGGGGAGTAAAACTTGTCATGGAGGACCGAGACGGAGCCTTTACTTTTCATTCTGTACCATTTATTTATACTTTTATGCATGTTTAGTTATGCTTAGTGAATGTGTACTTTTAAAATAAGTACTGAAAATCATTTCAGCCAGGATTTTTCTTTGACTTTTGATGTATCTTAATATGTCTTGACTCCACTGAAACACTAATATGATGATAGAAATGTACACTGTCCCAACACAGGAGTGACTGTTTCTGTCCCTTTGAGGCACATCAGCTCTGAGCAGAATATCTAACAACCGTAGAGTGTGACTAGGAAAGGGCATCCAGGCTGGTGGGGACATCCAGAGCACTCTATGTTAGAAGAGTTAAGGAAACCACTGGTGCATTGCTCAAGAGGATAGAAATCCGGAGTGAGGGAGACAGGATTGCCAACTTTAGAACTGTGGAGGAAAGTGTGTATTGATCCGTGTGGGCAAATAACAGGACGAGTGGGTAGCAGTTAGAGTGGCAGAACTGTAAACAGTTTTCTAGCTACCAGAGCTGTGTAATGGTGTCACTTAGTGTTCAAAGACCTTGTAGAGACGGTAGGTGCTCTCTTTCGGTTAGGGTTCTGCTAGAGGTTGTCTGAGGTTTCTTACAATATTGAGTTTGGAGGGAGGTTGGTTAGAAAGCCTTTTTCTTTTTTTTCGATACTCTGGGTTGAACACAGGGTCTTCATGCTGAGCTATATCCCTAGCCCTTTTGTAACATTTTGAGACAGGATCTTGCTAAGTTGCCCAAGCTGGGTTCAAACTTGGATTTTCCTGCCTCAGCCTCCCAGAGTGCTGGGAGTAGAGATGTGTACCACCATACCTGGCTTAATAAGCACTTTCTAACCATGTATTCATTGGGCTTTAAAATACATAAATAATGAATCGATTCAAGGAATTCAATCTAGTATTGTCCATTTCAGCTTTTAAGTAAGGAATAATACCTACTTTGTAAGTTCTTGTTAGAAAAGTGATTTAATATTTGTGTATGGAATTTAGTAAGTACTTAAGAGAAGTGATACTTTTTTGACATATCAAAAGGTTTGCTTAATTTTCCTCACTGGAAACCGTGACACTTGAGCAACACAGCAACCTCTTAGCTATATGATTTACCATAAGCTAGATAAAAACTGGCAACCATAGATTAAAGTCCTGGAAATTCAGTAAGCCACTGCTTGGAACAGTTCTCTTCAGTAGAATAAACGATTGTTTATTTGCCTAGTACTCCCTCTTGTTCACAATAAATATTACTCTTTGAGCCTGGAATAAATGAACAACCCTCCTGCTTGTCTGAACCCTCTTACGACACTTTGCACAGTTAGTATTGTTTGTGTCCACGTCTTGTCTTCCACTAGACTCTAAATGTACAAAGGTGAGTATCTCTCATTTTTCTCCCTAATGTCCTTTTCTCTCTAATGTCCTAATGTCATGGGAGGCTAAAGCAAGAGAATTGTGAGTTCCAGTCTCACCTGAGCAATTTAGCAAGGCCTTGTCTCCAAAAATACAGAAATAAATAAAATGCTCTGGGTTCAATCTTCAGTACTACAAAATAAATAAGCAAAAATTTTAAAATAAACAGGAAATTAATTTTAGTAAATCCAATATATCAAAAATATCATTTCAATGTGAAATGATAAGTTTTACAGTTATTGGTGAGATGTTTTGTTTTTTGTACAAAGTCTTCAAATTTTGGCTTTTTACATTAACAGCATGTCTCAACCTGGTCTACTACATTTCAAGTATCAGTAGCCACTTAACTAAGGATGCTGTACTGGGCAGCAGAGGCCTAGCACATTGTAGGTGATCAGTAAATGAATATCCCAAGCCAAACTTTCAAAAACAGTCTCTTCCTTTCTCCCAACAGATTACCGTGGCTGCCGGAGTCGTGCCTTGCAGTGAACAACTGTATTTCACATTGGTGAATAACAGTGGGTCTGCTGCAAACATGACAGGTAATATCTCTTTAATATATTTTTATCTCTTTGTGCCACCTAGTATTCAATACAAGTAAGGGTGTGAATGACTCTGAAAGCTAAGGTTTAATTCTTCATTGGCAATGCTAAGATCCAGGTGTTATTAAGGCCTTTTGTTGATTTCTGCCTTACCGCTTTGGCCTATTAGGATTCAAAACCCTGAATAATGATCGTGGCCTTTTTAGAAGGGAAGTTTCAAGCATGTTTGTCTCCTGCACTATTATCTCAGACTGAGATTACGCCTTTACTCCTATCATCAAACGCCTACTTGTGAATCAACCATTCATTTCTTCCTCCTTCGGTTTCTTGCGAGTGCCACTTACGAAGCACATTCAGAGCACTGGAGCCCTCCTTCTCCCCGTGTTATTTCCACTCTTACGTCACCTTCCCACACGGTTTTGATTTTTCTCCTGCACCTCATGCAAAGAAGTATGCTGTAACTTGGACTCCTACCGCCTCACTTACCCTTCACTGCGTTGCATTTCTGAGCTGGGCGCTGCCCTGATTCCTTGTTAGCTATTGGTCAGGTCTCTGTCCCTGTGACAGGATACCAGAGATGAGTTGCCCTAAAGGAGGAAAGGTTTATTTTGGCTCGTGGTTTCAGAGGTTTCTCTCCATGGTCAGTTGGCCTCTTGTTTTTGGGCCCATGGTGAGTAAATTATGGCAGAGGAAACTGCACACCTCGTAGAGACTATGGCTAACTACCTTCTGCTAGGCCCCACACGCTAACTGTTCCACCACAACTGGGCACTTCCCAGCAGTGCCCCAAGGTGGCAGCCAAGCCTATAGCATGTGGACCTTTGCGGGACAGTTCAGGTCCAAACCCTAACATTGGCTTTGTCCGTACAGCCAGTGTTACTGGGAGAAATGTTGAGCAATTTCACTTGGTGATACTCTCCTGGCAAAACCTCTCCACTCTGGGTTTTGCCTGAGTTCATTTAGTCCTACTATATAGGAACTTTGCAGTATTTCCTCCCAAGCTATGGATTACATGAGTCTAAATAAGGGGTTACAGCTCAGGGCTCGCTGGGAACAGTTTGTTCTCAGTTACTTTTGTGCTTGTTGGAATCTGGCCACTCCACCAGGAGGAGCTGTCTTTCATCCAGTGTTGAACTTGCCTAAGTGACAGATCTTTGTAGATCCTCTTCCATCTGCCTGCTGTGTCTGACTCTAGGGAAACTAATACGGCTGGTAACTGCCACTTGTGGACTGCATTTAGGGGCCAGATTTACTGTTAGTTTTCCTGGCCTTAGAGAGAAGTGCTCTTAAACAGTAATGATGTCTACTTGCTGTTTCCCTGGTAGAATATTCTTTTCCCCTAAGCAGCACTTCACCAACGAGTTTTAATAATCTGACAAACCTTTTTTCTGCTTTTTCTGTCAGAATATTACATCTTTCTTGGTGGTTTTTGGCAGAGATTCTCATGGTTTTTGGGGTGGGACAATTCTTTGTTGGAGGTCAGGGAGGTAGTTAGACCTGCTATGCCTGTCCTTATAGCAGCACTCATACCCCACCTGATAAGCAGAGGCTTTAGATGTATGGCTTTATGTCCTCATACCTAGGTTTTAATGGCGACAGGCAGGCTGTGGTTTCCCTAGGAAATGTCTGTTCTGGGGTGAGGTATGTCAGTATGCAGGGGCCAGTCCAGTTAGTTGGGAGGCACAAGTAGGTAGAGGTGCCATAGAGGAAGAAAACACCTTGATTGGGTAAACAGAATTGGTTGTGAATGTTAAAGGGGTCTATAACTCTTATTTTCTCTTTCCCAGATGCCCAGGGTGCCTGCTAGGGCAGCGCCTGCCAGGGGCTGGAGGGGTGCTTGGCGTGGGACCTGACTGAAGCCTATTGTTCTGTTTTCCCCTTGTAGGAAGAATCTTTTGGTGTCTATTAGGAGCCATTGTAAGGAATGGTCAAAGATAGGCAACAGGAGACAGCCTGAGCAAGTGGGAGACTGATGACAAGGAGTCCATGGGAGAAAAGGCATGCGTGGGGCATGGCAGCCATTGCAGAACTTTGACTGTCTATTGAGCAGTGATGCAGTCACAGCTCTGGGAGGACCAGAAAAGTGAAAGGACTAAGCGAATGGGGCACCCTGAGTAACCTGATAGCTGGTGTGATTGTAAGAGGCTAGTAGAGTAGGGTATAGTTACATTGATGGGGGAGAAGATGTCATAGTGATATACCAGAGGACAGATTACACCGAATATAACCAGAGGCTTGTAAGGTCAGAGTGGTATCAGTGGTTATGGGTCTGTGTTTGGGGTTAGTTGAGCTCTTGTGTGCAGAAGTGTTAACGAAGTAGGACTGGAAGGATCGGGCTGCGCGTCCTGCCTGGAGGTTTTCTGCTGTTCTCATCATCAGAGGAGCCTGGGACTTTGTTGTTGCTGAGAATGGCTATGGTTCACTTTGGGAGAGCTCTGGTCCTTACTTTGAGCATTGCTTCCTGGCTCCAAAGGGGAAGATGGTACACTGTTCAGTGTCCTGGAGAAGCTTGTCATGCTGGCTTTCCTGCTATGAACTCGGCTGTTATCGTCATCAATGGAGCTCAGGACCTCATTGTTGCTGTGGTACTTTTTGGAGGAGCTCTGGTCCTTACTTTGAGTATCACTTCCTAGCTCCAGTGCAGATTACTTAGAGCATTCATCCTGCTGGCACAGACTTCTAGCTTCCACCCCTGACCTTTGGCCCTTTCTAGCACTGATCCTTGAAACAGATCTTTGCATGAGACATTGTTGTGGTCTCTTGGCCTCCAATTGGACTTGTGGGGATATTGTTATGGGCTCTTTGGTCTTCAGCTGGATGCATGCAGGACATTACTGTGGGATCCAGGCCCTCAGCTGGATTCTTTGGATCCTTATTGTGTGGACAGATTTCCTGCACTTTTTTTGTACTGGACTACTATAAAATAATCCTATCAATTATGTGTCCTGTATTAAATTATTGTCTTTGCAAACCCTGACTATAACACTCACTTATAAATTCTGGGAGATTTTTTGAGATCCTTTGTTCTTTTCTATGTAAACAGTGATTTTTGTGAATAAGGACAGTTTAATTTCTCCCTGTCAAATTTGTATGCCATTATTTGTTTTTCTGTATTTATTTTTGCTTATGGTAGTGGGCTAGAACTTCTGCTAAGTAGAAGAGCAGTAGAACAGAGAGCAGACCTCCTTGACTTCTTCTGTTCTTAGGGGAAAGCATTCAGCCTTTTACTTTCCACTGATAGCAGTTAAGTTTTCTGTAGATGCTTTATAACACGTTAAATTATTTGCTCTTCATTTTTAACTGGATATGTTTCTGTCATGGATGTGTGTTGGTTTTGTTAAATGCTTTTTCTGTGTTAAGTAATATAATCATGATTTTTCTCTTTTAGCTTTTTTTTTTTTTTTTTGGTTTTTTTCCTCCGGTACCGGGAACCGAACTCACGACCTTGCGCTTGCCAGGCAGGCGCTTTTGCCACTGAGCTAAATCCCCAGCCTCTTTTAGCTTTTTAATATGGTAGTTTTTTTAAAATGGTATGTTCTTATTTGTTCCTTATTATCTTTTAAATAGATGCTAGATTTGTAATGATAGCTCCTGATTCATTCCTTATCTGGGTCATGTGTATCTTCTTTTTACTTTTGTCCATTTTCCTAGTTTATCCTTTTCCTCAGTTTTTTCATAGGAACATTTTTTTGTTTAACCTACCTTCACTATTCTCCTGTTTTTCATTTCCATCTCATTGTCTTATGCTGTAATTTTTATCATTTTTCTGTGTTAGTAATACAATCATGATTTTTCTCCTTTAGCTTTTTAATATGGTAGAGCTTTTTAATATGGTAGAGTTTCCTTACATGTTTACCTTTATTTTTCTAGTGACTTAAATTGGAGCTTAGATTTTTTTGATACCTTCCCTCTTCTCTGACATAAATTCACATAAATTACCTTCACTCCTTGCTTTTCCTTTTGATACCATCTAATGGGAGTAGATGAACTTTCTGATGAGCTTCCCATGGATCCTCTCTGAAACCATGGAAGAGGATATGGCAAAAACATCGTTGATGTTTGGCTCAAGTATGTGGGGTGTTACCAAAAATATTTTTGATCGTTAGGTCACTTTTTCTCAGACCTTTGGCAAGGGAGAATGGGCTTTTCTTGTAGCTTGTTCTGGATTGAAGTCTTGTTTGAAATGTATGAGAGGAAATCGGGAATCCCAGGGAAGTCACAGACATACTGTTCCTCCAGTCCTGAGGCCACCAGATAGTCCTTGTTTGTCTATGTTGTGTTCAATGGAGTTGCTTGGTCTTGAAGGAACTAGAAATATGTCAAGTGGCATTTTGTTTTTTAAGTAAGGGAGAACAGGAGCAAAAGAGAAAGGGAGAATTTGCTTTAGCTTTAAGGTGTAATGTACAATGGTTTACACATTTTTTATTAGTACTTATTTATAGTATATTCATTGGATGGGGTTGCTACATTCATTGGATGAAGTTGGTACAAGAACATAATACATTTTAATTCTTTTTGCTTCCCCTTCCCTTCTTCCTTTCATGGATATTCACTCAGTTAAAATATACATCCTAGTTTTTTTTCACATAGCTGCAGATTTACTCAGCTAGCACCATAGTCAATTTTAGAACATAGTTATCACTCCAGAAGGAAGTTCTACTCTTTTGTAATCAGTAACCCACTTTTTCCAGCCCTCTCTTTACTAGCCCTGGAAACTATCAATCTACTTTCTGTCTCTATAGATTTCTTCTGAATATTTTATATAAACAGTAATGTAATATGGGGCCTTTATGATTGGGTTATTTTATTCATGTCTCAATATTTACAAGTTGAGCAATTTTCAATTGTATAGATGTACCACATTTTCAGTGCATTTATCACTTGATGATGAGGTGGGCTTATTCCCACTTTCTGGCTGTTATGATCATTCTGCTTTGACATTTATGTCTAACATTGTGTGTATACATGCATTTTCACTTTTCGTGGGTATATGCTTAGGAATAGAAAGGTGAGTCATAATATTAACTCTAATTATGTAAGAAACTGTCAGCCTTCCAATGTAGTTGCTCTGTTTTACAATCCCACTAGCAATATATGAGGGCCCCTGTATTTTGTTCTTTGTTTTTTTTTTTTTATAACTTTGTTTCTTGCCTTTATCTGCCTTTCTCATTATAGCCATTATGGTTAGTATGAAATGGTATCTCATTGTGGTTTTAATTTTCATTTCCCTAATGACTAACTGATGTTGAACATCTTTTCATGTCTTTGACCATTCCCATCTCTTTTTCTGGAGAAATTCCCTTTCAAATTGCTTACTGGCTTCTCAAAATTATTGAGATACAGTTAACATACAGTCACTGTTGGTGTTAGCTTGTATATAGGGTCATGCACTCACCACTCTATAAATCTAAAATATTTCTATCAGCCCAAAAAGAAATTCTATAACAATTAGCATTCTCTTCTCATTACACCTTCTCTCTAGAACTTGGCAGTCACTAATGTACCTTCTGTCCCTACGAGGTTGCCTGTTTAGGACATTTAATATAAATAAAATAATAAAATGTGTGCTATTTTGTATTTGCCAGTTTTTACTTATGATAATGTTTCCAAGGTTCATCCAGGATACATCAGTACTTCATTTTATTGCTGAATAATATTCCATTATATAGGCATACCACATTTTATTTATCCATTTGTGTTGATGGACACTGGGTTGATTCCAATTTTGCCAACATGATACCTCTTGCAACCCAGGAATCAGCAAATGATCTGCAACTTCAAGAAACTGTACACAAAGGCACTCTTCACCAGGTGTTTTTTTTTTTAATTTTAAAAAGAAAAAATTAAAACAATTTCAAAACAAGAGAATGGGAGAGTAACAATGGTTAATATGTTGCATATTTATCTTTAAATTAGTTCATATTTAGATTAGATCATATTTATCTTTAAATTAGTTACTCAGATATAGGCATTTAATTGTTCTGACAATATTAGCACAAACCTTTCTTTTCAGTGAACTGAAAGAAATTAGTAGTATAACTATCTTGACTACTATATACATATATATATACATATAATTTTTTTGCTTTCCCTTTCCTTCTTTTTCCTTTCTTCCATCCCAGTTTCTCTTTCCTTTTGAAAAGTTTCTTCCCATTTCACAGTATCTATTGTACACTTTGGGTCTTATTTACTCTTTCAGTGTCTCACACTAGGGAGACAATATGATGTTTAGATGTGAGTCTGATTTATTTCATTTATGGTCTCAAATTGCATTCATTTACCAATAAAAGTCTCAAGTTTATCCTTCTTTATGGCTGAGTGGTACCCCACTGTATAAAAATACCACATTTCTTTTATCCATTCCTCAGTTGATGGGCATTTGGGTTGTTTCCAAGATTTAGCTATTACAAATTGTGCTGCTATAAACATGGGTGCACATATATAACTGTCTTAAGAAGTTTTTAATTCTCCTGGGAAAATACCCAGAAGGGGAAGAGCTGGGTCAAATGGGACCTCTAATCTTAATGTTTTGAGGAATATCCCCCACTGATTTCCACAGTGGTTGCACAGTCTACCCTCCCGCCAGCAGTGGAGAAGTGTTCCTTTTTTCCCGCAGCTCCTCTAACATTTGTTATTGGTTGATTTCTTGATGATAGCCATTCTTTCTGGAGTGAGATGGAATCTCAGTATTGTTTTAATTTGCATCTCTCAAGTGACCAGTAATGTTGAATATGTTTTCATATATTTGTTTGCTATTTGTATTTCTTTATCTGAGAAGTGGGTATTCATCTTAGATGCCCATTTTTGGATTGGGTCTTTGGGGATCTGATTTTCTTCAATTCTTTGTATGTTCCTGATATAAGTCCTTTGTCTGAGGGACAACTGACTATAATTTTTTCCCACTCTGGGTTGTCTTTGTATATTTATCTTTAAATTAGTTCATATTTAGATTAGATCATATTTATCTTTAAATTAGTTACTTCCTACTATCTTTCTTCCAATGTATGTGTTTGGCACCTTCAGAGATAAGGTGGCTGAGTATGTGTAGAGTTATTTCTACATCTTTTAATCTGTTCCATTGATCTTTGGGTCTGTTTGGTTTTTTTTTGCCAGTGTCATGATGTTTTTATCACAGTAACTTTACAGTATAATTTTAAGTCAGGGATGGTGATGGCCCCTGCCTTGCCTTCGTTGCCTAGAATTGCTATTCTAGGTCTTTTCTGGTTCCAAATGAATTTTAGAATTGTTTTTTCTAATTCTGTGAGATATGCTGTTGGAATTTTTTTTATTGCAATTGCATTAAACTGCATAAGAGTTTTTGAAGTATGGCCATTTTCTCTATACTGTTTCTTCCTACCCGAAAGCAAAGGATATCTTTCTATTTTATGATATCTTCAATTTCTTTTTTCAGAGTACTGTAGTTTTCAATGTAGAGGTCTTTTATATCCTTTGTTAGATTGATTCCTAGGTATTTCATTTTTTGGATGCTGTGGTGAAAGGTGTGTTTCCCTAATTTCTCTCTCAGTGATTTTGTTATTCAGGTACTGGAAAGCTATTGATTTAGGTACACTTATTAAATCTAGCAGTCTTCCAGTGGAGTTTTTAAGGTCTTCTATGTAGAGTAGCATGTCATCCACAAAGAGTGATAATTTAACTTCTTCCTTTCCTATCCTTAATCCTTTTAGTTCTTTCTCTTGTCTAATTTTTCAGGCTAAAGTTTCCAGGACTATGTTAAGTAAGAGTGGAGACAGTGGACATCCTTGTCTTGTTCCTGATTTTAGAGTGAAGGCTTTCAGTTTTTGTCCATTTAGTATGATGTTGGTTTGTCATAGAGGGCTTTTATCAGATTGAGATAAAGACCATCTATTTCAATTGTCTGTAAGATTTTTTATCATGCATCGGTTTTAGACTTTGTCAAAAGCTTTTTCTGCATCTATTGAGATGATCATATGATTTTTGTCTTTGGCTCTGTTAATATTTACCAGGTGTTTTAATGTCACTGAAGAGATATCCTTGACTCTGAAAGAGTTCTAGAAGAAACATTTCAATGTCCTACACTTCATCAAACTCATTGACGAAGCTGTGGGGAGATGTCACATACTGGTTCTTAAACTCAACCTGGAGGAATGTGGCCAAAATGGGTCACTGGATGTGACTTTGAAGGGTCTCATGCACAGGGAGTGGAACAGATTGAGTCAATGGGAAACAGTACGGGTCTGGATGTTGATGGTGGCCACATAGAGGAGCTTGTTGAGGACCATAAGGAGAAGCTGATGATGGAAGAACTTGCTGAACTGAGTGAGCAGCAGAAGGCTCTTGCTGAGGAGTGTCCACTGAGGAAGAGGAAGACAGGGGGGCGGTTAGCAGTGATGGGATAACGTCCATCACGGAAAAGTGGAATATGTGCCAGGATCTCTTTTAGAAGCACTGCCCCAACATAATTGTAATGAACATAGTGTTGAATCTGATGAATGATAACATGGTCTCTCATTTCTGGAGGGTTATGTAGCACAGGAAAAAATGAGACATTAAACAGATTTTTCATCAAAATTGACCCTGCAGTTAAGAGACAAAGAAGATACAAAACCCCTGAAGGAGATCTCCCCACCCTTCCCTGGTCATCAGGCCACAAGGGGCAGCCCATGAATGAGCTAACAGCCAGGTGAATGAGCACCAAGAGGACCAAGAGGGGGTGCTAGCATGTGTACTTGTAGCATGAGGGAAGCCACCTGCCTGCCAGACCCCTTCCCCCTCCCCTGACCACAAAGCAGCACCATGTTAGCACCAAAGCACTCAACTCCAACCAGGATAAGGCTGACAAGACCTCAGAAGAAGACCAAGAAGCAACTGAACATACTGATGAAGTGCAAAATGAAACACACAGACTTAATGGACAAGCCAGTGAGGAGACATTGAAAGTAGCACAGAAATGATAACTCTGCCAAGCATTTTTTCAGGTCAGGTTCGCTTACTGAAATCTCAAATTTTGTGATAACAACATTTTTTAACCAGCCACTCAAAGTGACAGAATTTGAAGATATTAAATCAGGTTACAGGATAGATTTTTAATTTGATGAAAATCCCTATTCAAAAATAAAATTCTCTCCAAAGAATTTCATCTAAAGAGAGTGGAGATCCATTTTTAGAGTCCACTGAAATCAAATGGGAATCTGGAAAGGGTTTGACAAAACATTCATATCAAATGCAGAATAAAGCAAGTAGGAAGAGGCAGCATGAAGACCCGAGAGCACCTTGCCCAGGTGTGCTGACCATTCGGATGTGGGTGCAGATGGGTTAGGAGAGGTCATCAAAGATGGCATTGGGCCACATCCATTGCAGTACTACTTGGTTCCTGATATGCATGAGGAGGAAGGGGAAGGAGAAGAAGATGATGGTGGAGGATTGGAAGACTTTGATGTGGAAGGGGATGAGGATGAAGATGATAGTAAAGGGGAGGAAGGAGAGGAAAATGAAGGAGAAGATGACCGAACACTGATGGATTTCTTCTTCCAGTCCCCGGGTGCAAGTTTCAGGCTTCCCCTACTCCTGCTCTGTGTCAGTCTCCCTGTTCTTGAAGTCTGTTTTCTCAAACACCAGGGTTCTCGAATTATTTTGTGGGGGAGAAAACTTGAGCACAATACAGAGGGAAAAGCAGTCCCTAGCAGCTATAACCTTCTGTTCTAAATTCATTCTTATGCCTTCCTGTCTCCACACAAACTGTGTGGAATCAACACCACCATGCTCTGAAAGAAAAAGGAAAACTCTTCTGCACCTTTTGCCCTGCTGGAGGCTGGAGGTGCTCGGCCCTGCGTAGTAGTGCATAGAATTCTAGCTTTTTCCTTTTTTCTCTGCTTATTAGGCTCAGAGATTACACTGTGTTTCTATGTGAATATGGACAGTTAGCATTTACCAACCTGTACCTGCCTACTTTCTCTTGTTTAAAAAGAACTTTAAAAATAGAGTGTAAAAGGTTAGCAAAGGGTGGGTTTGAGATGTTTGGCTGGGTTAAGCGGGCATTTGACAGCATGACTTCTCCATAGACATGTTTGAATGTGATATTAGACATCCTTGCAATAAAATAAATAAAAATAAAATTCTCTCCTAATGATATCTTGAGCCCTGTCACTCGATGGGAGAATCTGCAGAACCTGTAGGGTCCTATTTGGAATAAAAATTCTATATTGTAATTTTGCAGTTTTAATTTTTAAAATTCTCTTTTGTTTTCACTGGAAAGGAAAAGATGATGGAGGCTTTTAAATGTTCAAAGTGTACAACTTGCTTTGTTACAATAAAACCACATGTGTACACACACACACACACACAAACTCATGGAAAAATGCGTAGAAGGGAAATTCTTTAATCTGATAAAGAACATTCACCAAAAAACTAAATTTACATCTTATTTATTTACAACAATGTGAATACTTCCCTGCTCAGATCAGAAACAACACAATATCTACCTTCAGTGCTTATCTTCAGCATTAGAAGTCCTAGGCAGTGCAGTAAACCTCAACAAATAAGAGGAAGCCCAATTGCAGAGAATAAAACTCTATTCACAGATGACAAAAGCATCTGTGTAGAAAATAAAATTGACAGAGAAGGTTCTAATTTCTAAGTGAAATCAGCAAGCAAGCTCAGAAGAAAAGATCAATATAAAAATCAGCTGGCTCTATATATGAGTAACAAACAGTTGAAAAAGCTAACAAAATAAGGTCATTTATAAGAGTATTTGAAGTGCAATATTTTGGTATAAATTTAACAAGGTACATGCAGACCTAGAAACAGAACACTGCAAAATTTGCTGAGAGAAATAGAAGAAAACCTAAATAAACAGAGAGACCTACTGGAATGATGGATCAAAGGGCTGCTAGGGTCTGTATGTGTCCCCCAAAGTTTGTGCATCTGTACTTACTCACCAAAGTGATAGTGTTAAGTGGCAGGGCCAGTAGGCAGGCCAATTGAGTCACAAAGACAGAGCCCTCGAAGTTGGGTCTAGGGTCTTACAAAGGGGCTGAGGGAACAGTGGCAAATTAGAAAGGAAGCTAAAATTAACATCTTATTTAATTGGAACACATAAAATACTTTGCTGCTAAGGTTGGAAACAAAACAGTGTCTACTTTCAGTGCTTATATTCGTATTTATTGGAAGTCTTCTTCCACAGGAGGACACAACGTTTGTCACAGTTACTTTTCTGTCTCTTTTCCTTCAGAGGACGCCACATGCAAGACATCACCTTGGAAGCAACTAGAGCAGCCCTGGCCAAACATCAGACCTGCTGTCATCTTGATCTTGGATTTCCAGGCTCCAGAACCATGAGAAATACATCTTTGTCCTTTATAAATAACCCAATATTTTGTCATAGCTCCATTGACTGACAAAAACTCTATACTGTCACATTGTCAGTTTGTCTCAAGTTGTTCTATAGACTCCATAGAGGCCAAGAAAAGCTTCAGTAGGCTTTATGTGGACACTGACAAGCTGATTCTAAAATTTAGAATGAGAGACTGAGGACCTAAAATAACAAAAAAATTTTTGAATAAATAAATAAAATACTTGATTTAAAGAGTGGCCTAAAGTGGTAACAATGTGTTGTTGGTATAGAGATAGACGTATAAGCCAATGGAACAGAACAGAGCACAGGTATTTGTTCATGTATAAATATATACATATTTTAATAGGGAAAGGATACTCCTTTCAGTAAATTATTTTTCTTTCTGAAAAATTTTTCTGTCTTGTTATGTCATCTAGGTTGCCTGTGAACTCACTATGTAACCCAGGCTGGCCTTGAGCTTGCAGTGATTGTCCTGCCTTAGCCTCCTGGGTGCTAAGATTACAGGCATATGCCACCATGTGTGGTATCACTAAATCATTTTAAAATATATGGATATCCACATAAAATAAAGGGAACTTTGAATTTTACTTCACACCATATAGAAAAATAACTTTACATGGATTATAGTTCTAGTTCTCTGAGCTAATATTATGATACTACTATGACACATGTTAACATTTTTCTGTAAGGGAGTAGCAGATAATAAATATTTTATGCTTTGCAGGTCAAAGAGTTTCTGCTACAGTTACTCAGCACTGACATTGTTACACTGAAGCAGCCACAAATAATACATAAACAGCTGAATGTGGCTGTTCTCCAGTGTAGCTTTGTTTACCAAACCATCAGCTATAGTTTGCAGCTCTTTTTTTTTTTTTTTTTTTTTTGGTTTTTCTCCGGTACGGGGAACCAAACTCACGACCTTGTGCTTGCCAGGCAGGCGCTTTTGCCGCTGAGCTAAATCCCCAGCCCCAAGTTTGCAGCTCTTTATATGAAAGAAAACAAAGGAAAAATATTTTGGGCTTTGAGTTAGGCACAAATTTTCTAGATTTTGCAGAAACTGTATAAGTTATCAAAGAAAATATTGATAAATCAATTTTCATCAAAACTTTTGCTTCTTAAAAGAAAAATTTAAAAAGATGTAGGTAGTGAAAAATATTTGATATATAGTCATTCCTCAATATTTGCAGGGAATTGGTTGCATGACCACCCCCTATCACTGTGGCTGCCAAAATATGTGGATTCTCAAGTCCCTTATACAAAATGGCATACTATTTACATATAACCTACACCCATCTTCTAGAATACCTTCACTCGTGCAAATGCTATGAAAATAGTTGTTACACTATATTGTTTAGTAAATGCTGACAAGAAAAAGTGCATACACATTCAGTGTAGATGCATTGTTGACCTATGGCTTGTTGAATCTGTGGATGGGGGATTCATAGATACAGAAAGTTTTGTGTGCGTGTGTGTGTGTGTGTGTGTGTGTGCGCGCGCGCAGCATAAAGTCTAATATCCAGAATAGATAAATAATCCTTCTAAATCCTTATTAAGAAGTGAAATAATGCAATAAAAAGTTTTAAGTAGACATTTCACAGGAGAAAATAATCTAAATGTATAGAAAGTATGTGGAAGGTTACTAAATATCATGGAAATTCAACTTAATACTATAATGAGAAGCCAGGCATGGTGGCACATGCCTGTAATCCTAGCACTTGAAGGGCTGAGGCAGGAGGATTGACATGAGTTGAAGGTCAGCCTAAACTACATAGTGAAACCCTGATTCAAAAAATTAAAACTAAAATAAAATAAAAACCACAGTGAGAAACCACTACACACAGGAATGGCCAAAATTTGAAAACACTGGCAGTACTAAGTGTGCAAGAGGATAAAGTGCACTTGGGATGCTCATGCATTCTTAGTGGGAGTGCAAAGTAGGACCACTTGGGAAAAATAATTTGACAACTTTTTATAAGGCCAATGTTTACAATATGATTCCAGTTTCACTTCTAGATAATTACCCAAGAAAATTAAGACATATGTCTACACAAGTGTAGGGAGCAGCTGAAACTGGAAATCAATCACACATTTGTAGCTAAGACAAAGCTGGCCTGAGAACATGGGGAGGTCCTCAAACCGTGTGAACAAGCTGTTCCAGCTTGCAAGCTTGTTGCTAGGCAGAGAGATTAAAATTGACATCAACCTTCCTAGTGTATCAATAAGTGTTCTACAGTTCTTGGGCAGTTCCTCTTCTCTAATCAGGAGAGAGGCTCTACACTTGACCTCAGCTTTGTCTTTTGTTTTCTTCATCCCTTCAACATTTTTCCCCAGGACAATTGAGAGTTGTGCAAACCACAACAAACTGGCGAATGAACAGGGACACCTGGTAAGGAAAGGTAGGTGTCAGGAATCTTCTCAAATTTGTACACAACAGGGGAGAAAAGTGAATTGGTTGGGGCCAGTATTCAGCACAGCCATGCATCAGGTATTGGCAAAACATCAGGTGTAAAAACTTGGGGATGCATGTTCTCTAAGTCCAGAAACAGATTCACTAGGGCCAGAAGAAGGTTCATAAGGATCTCTCTAAAAAAAAAAAAATTAAAGGCGCAGGCACGGGACAGAGTCTCAAACATCACAGATGTATATGTATATAGAAGTGTTTTCTGCATGCTTGGTTCCAGTATTTATTTTTCTTTTCTGGATTTTGCTTAGAAGGGGTTTTACAACCACAAAGGATTCAGCTCAAGGCACTACTTTAAAACCAAGTCCTGAGCCCAAGCAGGACAAGGAGGGTGGAACAATGGTGCCACCAATAGAGCTTGGACCCTCTGGCCTTGCTAAATCAAATAAGGAAGGAGCAGTGGGGGACAAAAGGGACCTTTCCTCAGCAGAGAAGTGTTTCCCCACAAATTTCATTTCATAACACCTGATAAATTTAACCAAGTCACAGGTGGCAATCTCGGCCTTTTCAGCTCAGAAAAATTTTGCTGTATTACATCTTGGAACTTCTGCCTCTCAGGGAATAGAGCTCTTCTTTTTCTCTCTCCCTCACAGTTGGCACTAAAGAAGCCAGACAGGTGAGGGAGTCCATGAAGGGATTTCAACATACCTACCCTGTTACTAAAGTTCAAGCTCCCAATGATCCAAGACAAATTACATGTCTTCAGAGTTGTGCCTATATTAGCTCTTCATATGTACAAGGTGCTGCCTTAATACTCTGCATAACTCAGGTTATTCACTCATAGCCTGGAGGAAAGAAAACAAGGCTGCTCGTTTCCATTGTGGGGACAAGGGACATTTTGCCTGAAACTAGTCTGCTGTACCTGCAAAGGCAGCACAAGCATTATCTTTCTCTTTAACAAAACCTTTGTATCTTTGTACAAAGTGTCCATGAGGGTATCACTGGAAAAATGAGTGTAAATCTAAAACTGATGTGGAGAGCAGTTTCACTTGGAATTCAGGACTGTGGATTATGCAGTGGAAGAGTAGCAGCAGTTGGTTCAGGATTGTAATGCAGCCAGACCAGGAGGGGAGGAAGGAGGGAAAGGGGTAAGAAAGAAAAACGAGGATGAAGAAGAATGGATTTCCCATTTGTTCAGTTTCATCAGCTAATTGTCCACCTATACATCAGTGTCCATTGCTATTGAGAAATTTTTAGTTGGACTGAGCTGGCTCTCCTATGAAAGAAGAGATTATTATCTCCTCTTAAATTATGCTGGTCATCTTTAAGCTTATCAGTTTTTTGTCTGATTAAAACACTTTATCAGTGTTTAGTCTGGATTGTACGGATGATGTATTTGGCTTATTGTCATTGTTTATCTGCAGACTCAAAACATCATTTTAAAACACCTTGGGAGTCTGTAGAGTGTAACTATAATAGCTTGATGTGTTTTAAAAAACAATAAAGTTGGATCTTCCATATTATAATCAAAAAATTTAAACCAGTATTTAAAAATGGAAAAGTATTAAAATGTTAGGGACAAAATAAAACTGATATAGAAGGCTGACCCATTCTGGGAAACATCCATTGGAGTCTGCATCAGCCCCATCAAACAACAGGAGTGCAGAGTGGGTGCAGGGAGGGCTCCGAGCTCAGGTCCTAGGCAGACTCAGCTGGTATGTCCCAGCCACCAGCCTGTCTACATGGCCACCAACTATAAGCCTGGATGCCTGGGACCAAATAGGCAGGACGTGACTGCAGTGTGCTCTGGCTCTTGCTCTGGCATTCACCATTTGTGTTTTTGGCACCAAAAATTCACTTGGTGCAAAAAGTGCCTGTGAACCTGGAATCCAGACAGAAACAGTACATCCAGTGGCCAGAGCAGGCACACCCAGTGCCTGGGGTCAACTGACCAAAACAGTGGCTGCACATTCCCATTTCCTTCTGCCCAGTGAGCTAGATCACAGGGAAACTTCTTTGGTGCCTCTGCTGCAGGGCCTGCCTGCTGGCTGGCCACACCCATTTCACTAGTAATGTGTGCTCTGCTGTAAGAGCAATAGTGGCCCAGATCAGAGGAGGGGAAAACCAAAGAAAAAAAAAGCTTACTTAAAAGAACATAATTCCCATGATTGAAAACTTTACCCCTTGTCTCAAAAATATATTTCAGTGATAACTTTGGTCTTTTAGAGTTATAGTAAAAAATTTCCTCATTTTAGATTATACAGCTAATAAAACTGTCTTTCTTTAATTACAGTTTTCTTCCTGACGTTATGTACAGGATATATTGCTGATTTGGGAAGTTTTATAAGTCCTTGGTGTTCTCTTGATTCCTAATAAGGTTGATTGCCTGTTTTACATTTCTAATTAATATAGAGAAGCCTTGATATTTTACAAACAGGTATAAAGGTTAAGAGTGCAATCTGAAAGCACTGGAGTTTAAACAGTTGTTTGATGTTGACATCCCATTTAAATAATGACAGGCCTGGTGATAGCCTCCAAAAGGGTGCATATTGTGACAGCTTCTTCATATTTGGGTGACCTTAT